GTGAAAAAAGTAAATACGCAAATAAATAAAGAAATAAATAAATAAATAGACAAATAAATAAATAAATATATATACATATATAAATAAACAACATATAATACATAAATAAATGACAAATATATAATGCAAATAAAAGAATAGAAATGATTTGAAACAAAGAGAACAATGTACAAAGCTGGAAGGAACAGTGCATAACACGGGCACAGCGCATCAAACCCCAAACCCTAAACCCTAAACCCTAAACCCTAAACCCTAGCTGCGCACGCTCGTGAGTGAGTTCCAAAGGTATATTGCCGCCGCCGGAAGCTGGTTCTCCCCAAACCCCAAAAATGTTTTCCTCGTTAACAACCAGGAAGGCCGAAGCGCTAGCGTGCAGGCCTGCAGGCTCCAAACCCTAAACCCTAAACCCTAAACCCTAAACCCCTGTTGCAGCCACCGCAAACCCTCGGTCCGTGTTGGGAAGCGGCTCTCCAACTCTCTCGAGCCCTGCTTCCCCAAACCCTGATCCCAAAACCCTAAACCCTAGCTTTTGCCCCTGTTCGTCGCAGTGCGGCTCCCCAAACCCTAAACCCTAAACCCTAAACCCTAAACCCTCACTTTTGACACCGTTTTTGGCAGTGGAGTGCACGCTGCTGGGCACAGAACCCCCAGCTTCCAAATCCCCCCAAGCAATTAATTCCCAACTTCCTGCAGAGGCTTCGTTGCTGCCTTTTTGGCGAGCTGCTGCTGCTGCTTTTTCATTGAAACGGACCACTGAAACGCTCAAACCCTAAACCCTAAACCCTAAACCCTAAATCCTAGGGCGGGAACACGAGCTGCGCCCGCCAAACGCGGGCAGCTACAGGCCCGGCGCAGTGCTTGATAGCTGCGCTCAGAGGCCTGTGCATTCCGTTGTGAGGGTCTAGGGTTTAGGGTTTAGGGTTTGAGTTCAAGGGTTTAGGGTTTAGAGGGTTTCGTTGCAAACACAGACAAACACTCACTGCTGTCCAAGCTAACAAAACTGAGCTACAGCCCGCAAGCCACTCTGCAGGTCCTGAAACTGGGACTTCAGGATTTAGGGTTTATGGTTTAGGGTTTAGGGTTTAGAATTTAGGGTTTAGGGTTTAGGGCTGCCGGACTCTTAACCCCCGATGAAAGCTTCTCCTTAACAGACTGGAAAGAAGCAGATTCAGAAGTAGCAAAACCCTCGTTGCAAAAAGGGGCGGAGCTGGTGCTGGTACCCCACACGGCCAGTTCCCCTGCAGAGCCCAAACCCTAAACCCTAAACCCTAAACCCTAAACCCTGGGCTTCACGCGCTGCGCCGCAAAACCCTAGACCCTTGCCCTCCCGCACTGAAATGCTGAAGGCACATGCAGCGTTGACATTCGAATTGCTGCACTAGCTGCAAACCCTAATCCCAAGCTGTAAACTCTAAACCCTAAACCCCAAACCCTAAACCCTAAACCCTAAACCCTAGATGCTTGTTGCTTGCCTGTTGTGGAGATGGCAGCAAAGCAGGCCCGTTCAGCCCAAACTGATGCTGCCTGAAAACAGACGCGTCAAGTCTTTAAACCCTAATCCCTGAACCCTAAATCCTAAACCTGGGCTCCAAACCCCAAGCCCTGAACCCTGGACCCCAAACCCTAAACCCTAAACCCTAAACCCTCACTTGAAACTCGCCAGAACTCAGCCGAGTGGGGAGGACTACACCCTTGCCCCAAGTGTATACTCTTCCAGCTCCTGTCATGGCAGCAAACCCTACATCAGCTGCCACCTGCCCGCACAAACCCTAAATCCTAAACCCTAAACCCTAAGTCTTGATCCCCAAACCCTAAACCCTAAACTCTAAATCCTGGACGGTGAGCCATACGAGATTCGTCGCGTCATTGGGCTCAGGGCTTGGCAGCTCCCCGCCTGCAGCAGAACACGCTCTGTAGGCAACGAACCCTAAACCCTAATCCCTAAACCCTAAACCCTAAACCCTAAACCCTAACCCAGATCCCTAGACCCCAGGTGTTCGCTACTCGCCCAGTCCTGGGAAGAGTGAAATAACGAAGAAGAAGAGCCGCGTCAGTGACAAGCCCCAGCCGCCTACTAAACCGTAAACCCTGCACCCCCAAACCCTAAACCGTAAACCGTAAACCCTAAACCCTAAACCCTACCGACAGTCGTGTCTCCCCAAGCATAGACTATTCCGTTTTGCAGCAGAACAGCAAATGCCCCTGTAGAGGCGACGATGGACTTCACCCGTTGGCTCCGCGAGGCATCAAACCGCCCTAGGCCATTCTGTGCAGCCAAACCCTAAACTAAACCCTAAACCCTAAGCCCTAAATCCTAAACCCTAAAGGCCGATGCCTGGCTCTTGAATGCCCTCAATTCAGCTGCACAGAGCTTTCTCGACGATGACAAGTGCTGACCGAGGTGCGACACCAGCAAAACAAAGCAAAACCCTAAACCCTAAACCCTAAACCCTAAACCCTTACCTTGACTTCAGTTGTCATTTCCCCTCCCTGCGTGGCCTCGCCCATTGCCAAAACTGTCCCGTCGGTAAACACGAGTGAGAAAGCTGTGCCTTTGGGGTGGCACGAAATCCCTGCGGCAGCGAGCCCCAAACCCTAAACCCTAAACCCTAAACCCTAAGCCCTAAACCTCAGGCTCTAAACCCCAAACCCTAAGCTGCAAGCCCTAGCTAAACTCAAAAGCTGCACCCTATAGTGGAATCTCTCCGTCTTTACCTCTGCGGCGGATTCAAAACTTCAAACGCATTAACCCCAAACCCTAAACCCTAAATCCTAAACCCTAAACCCTAAACCCTAGAGCGTACCTGCCATCATTACCGAGGGAGGCCTCTCAAGGTTCAGCTGCTCATTAAGTTCTGTAATTCCTGCGCAGCCTTTTGATTTGCTGTTGCTGCAGTAGACTTGAGGAGTGAAGCTTGCGTTTCTTGCCTGTGCACAAACCCTAAACCCTAAACCCTAAACCCTAAACCCTGATCCCTACACCCTAAACCCTGAGCCTATACCTCACAGGAATATTGCCTCCTATCCCTCCCGAGCTGTCCTGCTGCAGCTAAAGAGAAACAAAGAGCCTTGCAGCTCAACCATCTCGCCAGCTACAAACTAGGGTTTAGGGTTTACGGTTTAGGGTTTGGAGCTCAGGGTTTAGGGTTTAGGGTTTCGGGCTCACTGTCAGGCCAACAGTGTACACGAAGGTGTCGAGGCCCCCACACATGAAATCTACTCCCTGTAAGCAAGAAGACCCCACACTGCCCAGCCGACTAGCTAGCTAGCTAGCTGGCTAGCTAGCTGGCTAGCTAGCTAGCTAGCTAGCTAGCCATATACATAAGTAGAAGGCCAGCAAGCTACCCTCTCATTTAGCCATTCAAGCAGCCTAGTTCGCAAGCTCATTTAGCCATTCAAGCAGCCTAGTTCGCAAGCTCGTGGTGGCTAGGGAGAGGGGCTGCGAATAGGCCAAGTGGCTAGCTAGCTAGCTAGCTAGCTATGCAGTGGAATAGCTAGCTAGCTAGCTAGCTAGGTTGCTGAGTGGCTAGCTAGCCAGCTAGGGACGTCGCGCAGATGACTACAACGGCAAGCAACTGCAGCAGCAAAACTGCAGCAGCAAGACTGCAGGGACAGGGGCAGCAGCAGCAAAAGCGGCAACGGCAGCAGCAGCAACAGCAGCAGCAGTAAAAGCAGTAACAACGGCAACAGCGATAAGGGCACTAGCAACAACAGCCGCAAGGGCAGCAATACCAGAGAGGTTAGCAGCATCACAGGGGCCACAGCGCGAGCTGCAGCAGAAGTTGCAGCAGCAGCACAAGCAAAACTAGCAGCAGCAGCAGCAGCAGCAGCAGGAGCAGCAGCCGAAGCAACAGCAACACCACCTGAACAATCAACAGCCTCAGTAGCTCTGCCAACAGCAACAGCGGGCCGCGCAGCAGCAGCACCATCACCATATCCAGCAAAAAGAGCAGCAGAGCAGCAGCAGCAGTGCCCCACCACTTCCAGCAGCAAACCAAGCAGTAGCAGCAGCAGCATCGACCACCCGCAGAAAAAGTAGAAGAGCAGCAGTAGCAGCAGCAGCAGCAACAGAGAAAGCAAATAAGCAGCAGCAACAAAAAGGGCGGCGGCAGCAGCAGCAACAACAGCGAAAGCAGCAGCAGCAGCAGCAGCAACAGCAGCAGCAGCAACTATTTTGCACCTCGGTGATAGATGATCCGTTGGAGTCTGTCCAGGCCCCTGTGTCGCTTTTGCCTGCGTTGATTAAAGTCGTTGGCAGCTGCGTCACCTGGGGGGTAATCAGCAGTGCAGCAGAGCCCGCTGCAGCACAGCAGCAAACAAACCTCCTGCTGCTGCTGCTGCTACCGCTGCTGCTGCTCCCGCTGGGCATGTCGCACCTACAGTGCCTCTGCACTCGCGCTGCTCGCGAACGTGCAATGCAGCAGCAGCAGCAGCAGCAGCAGCAGCTGCTGCTGCTGTTGCTGCTGGGCACGTTGCAGCTACTGCCTCTGCCATCGGCATGCAGCTGCTGCTGCTGCTGCTGCTGCTGCTGCTGCTGCTGCTTACTAGAGGTAAACCACGCGTTGGTGATGTAGTTGTTTGTGGAGATTGTCAGGTAGCTAGCGACTTCTGTGCTGGCAAAGACTTTGCTGTTACTCGACAGGGCAGCCCTGCAGCAGCAGCAGCAGCAACAGCAGCAGCAGCAGTGGGACTGATGACGGGAGCAGCACAGCAGGAGTGCAGCAACCACGCAGCAGCAACGTCAGCAGCAGCGGAGACACGCCTTTCTGCAGCAGTAGCAGCAGCCGCCCCTTTAGCACTTGCTGCTGCAGTGTTCGAAGCAGCAACGCTTGCAGCAGCAATCCCCGCAGCAGCAGCTCCCCCAGCATTTGCAGCAGTCGCAGGCAAATGTAGCAGCAGCAGCAGCAGCATCAGCATTTAAAGCAGCAGCGTTTGCACCGGCTGCAGGCCAGGCGGCACCGTTTGCAGCAGCAGCAGCATTTACAGCAGCAGCAGCAGCAGCAGCTGGCTGACTGGACGTCTGGGTCTGCTGCATCTACGTGTATGAAGAAAGTCTTGGCGATTTTAATTTGTTGTTCGTAATAAGCAGCATAGCCCCCGCTAGTAGATAGTGCAGCAGCAGATGGAGTAGCACCCATGGCTGCAGCGCAGCAGCAGCAGCAGCAGCAGCAGCAGACGCTGTGGTTGCAGCAGCAGAAGCTGCAGGGAAGAGACTGCGGCTTGGCAGCGGCAGCAGCAAGTAGCAGCTGGGGGGCTGGCTTTCACGACTAAATGGCAGCAGCAGCGGCACAAGCTGGAGGTGCAGCAGCAAACACAGCAGCAGCGACTGCGGGATGGCAGCAACAGCAGCAGCAGGTAGTAACAACAGCAGCAACAGCAGAAGTAGCAGCAGCAGCAGCAACAGCATTAGCAGCTGCTGCAGCAGTATCATCAGCAGGGAAAGCAGTGGCAGCAACGGTAGCAGCAGCAGCAGCAACAGCAGCAGCAGCAGCAACAGCAGCAGCAGCAGCACCACTGAGGGTGTCCCAAGTGATGCCCGCATATTCCCCGAGAGCGCCAGAGGCGGAGGGCCCCAGGAGGCGCTGCTCTTGCCCTGTGCCTTCAACGCCTGCACAAATCCCAAACCCTAAACCCTAAACCCTAAACCCCAGGCCCTAAACCCTAAACCCTAAACTAAACCCTAAACCCTAAACCCTCGGCAGTTAGAGCCTGGTGAGTCGAGAAGGATGAAAAGGAAAAGGAGAAGAAGAGAGAGCAGCTGAAAGAGCCAAAGAAATGCGAAAAGAAACAAAAAGATAAAAGGAAAAAAAGAAGAAATGGAAATAAAAATAAACAAAAAAAGAAATGAAAAGGAAAAAAAGAAAAAATGAAAAAAGAGGCAAAGGCAGCAAAGAGCGAAAAGAAGCAAAAAGATCCAAAAATGCGAAAAAAGTGAAAAATGGAAAAAAGAAAGCAAAAGAAAGAAGAAAATGAAAAAATAAAAGAGCATAAATAAAAGAGAAAGGAAAAAGATACAAAAACAACCAAAAAGGAAAAGAAATTCTTCAATAAAGATAAAAAAAGATAAAAAAGAAAAGTAAAACTCACATTCATATTCGCCTTCTAAAACTCTCATTGGACTCAAAACTGCTGCGCAGACATTCCCGCACTGTACGTACACCCCAGAGCCGCAGCAATTGAAATGGAAAGAAAGAAAATAAATTTATTTTAATTAAATCAAAAAAGGAATAAAAAATTATGAAACTGAGACAGAAAGAATCAAGACTAGCTGCCAAAGAAAAACAGCAGCAGCGGCAACACCAGCAGCAGCAGCAGAGGCAGCAGCAGCAGCAGAGGCAGCAGCAGCAGCGAAAGCTGGAATCGGGGACAGATGAATGAAGGCCACAAAAAGGACCTTTGACGAGCAGCAGCAGCAGCAATAACAGCAGCAGCAGCAACAGCAGCAGCAACAGAAGTAGTGACATGGACCAGGAGCAGCAGCAGCAGAGACTGCAGGATTAGCAAAAGCAGCAGCAGTAGCATCATGACCAGTAGCAACACAAGGGCCAACAGCAGCAGCAGCAGCAGCAGCAAAGAGAGTTTAAG